AAAATGGGTATCCCTGCTCTGAACCAGCAAGTCCAAGACTTCATTTAGTTAAAATGAAATCAGTGGCATAAAGGTATGTCACTTAATGAATAATTATTTGTCACACATGATCATACAGCCCTTGCATAGAGTGAACACCTTTTGACACTTGTCTAAGAGCTCCAGAATTGTACCTACAGGTCTGTGTATAAATGGTCATTTTTTTCCTCTAACGTAAAATATATTTTTCCAATTTACTAAGCTGACCTTTTGAGAATAGTATGACAAGGCTTGTGTGGATGTCATGATAAGAAGCTGCCTAGTAGTAATGGATGTTATCAGTCTTATGGGGGGATCACCTGTAGTTTTTATAGAGGAGCTGCTGTAAAGCTGAAATGAAAGCTGAAATAGTAGCACCCGACTGTAGTGAGATAAAACGTGCTCTTTGCTTCAGTGATGACATTATACAGTCTTTTCTACTTTGACAGTTCTGAACAGATTCTACTTTGAGTTTCCAAGGCTGAGTTTGTTGTTTCAAGCAGGCACTTCAGCCTGTACAAATCTTACCAGCTTTAAAATATTGATGAACAAATATGTTGTGTAGGACAGCAGAGCTTTTCCTGAAGCGCTCCTTGGAAATGCGGGTGCGAGTCCTGGGATCCGACCACCCAGACTGCGCGCAGTCCCTGAACAACCTGGCAGCCCTGTACAATGAGAAGAAGCACTATGACAAGGCTGAGGAGCTCTATGAGAAAGCTTTGGACATCAGGAGGAGAGCCTTAGCTCCAGATCATCCCTCCTTGGCTTACACTGTGAAACACCTAGCAGTGCTGTACAAAAAGATGGTAAGCACACACCTGTTACCTCTTCTGATCACTTAAATTAACTGTAATGTCTTTGTCTTAATGGAAAAGATCATGTTTTAGGGTGTAAGAGTAGTTCTTTTTACACAATGACCTTGAACTTTACAGTCAGTTTTAAGGGAAATTTTTAGAATTATGAGGGAGATAGCAGTTTACAAATAAACTGTCTGGCTGAACCACCTTCAGCTTCTGTTGACTCAGTGAAAGATGAGCATTACTACTGTGCAAAATGCACTATGAGAAGTAAAATTAGCAGGAGTAAAATTAACTTCTGCATTTCATAACTTTAAAATGTGTTATGAATATTTGTGTTTGTAGATGGTTGTTCTAACCATTAGGTATTATTAGTTTAATAGTGATATAATGTTTCCAACAGTTGAACCAAGATTAAGTTCAGTGGGTTATAAGAATTTTATTTATTTTATATTTTCACATTTTAATGTTCTTCAAAGAGAAAACAGACCTTGAAGATAATATCTTAGATAAAATTTGCTCATGTTTTTGTGAAATAATTCTTACCTGCTATTGTCTGCATTAAATGGTTTTAGGTCATGTTATTTTCTGCTCACTTCAGCTTCTAATTTTCTTGCTGCTGGAAGCTGCAAAGCCACTCAATATTTGTATCAAAAACATCTTTGCTAGTTTGATGGAGTGCAAATTAAAAGTCGGCAGAGACAATTATTTTGATAAAAAGTACAACTGAAAATTCTTTTTACAGCCTTCTTAATGAGACACTCATGGGGAAAAATAAATTAAGAAAGGAAGAAATAGACCTAACTGAGAAACACATTAACTGGGAGTTGAATATGCCCAGTATTTTGGAAAATTGGGTTCTAATAAATAGTCAGGATAAATAATCTATGCAGAATATATGTATTATTTAGCAAAGTTTATCCCCTTATTCTAGAAACAATTAGATCTTCTCCAAGGCTTTTGTTTAAAATAGTTTTGCTGATACCATCTTGATACCAGAAAAATGAATCATTTTTTCCCTGTTATTTCTAGGGAAAACTTGACAAGGCTGTTCCTCTATATGAGCTAGCAGTTGAAATTCGACAGAAGTCATTTGGCCCAAAACACCCGAGTGTAGCAACTGCTCTGGTAAACCTGGCTGTCCTTTACTGTCAGATGGTAAGTTTTTCATGCCTAACATTTATTTTTCCTGTCTTAGGCTTCTTTATGACCTATACCTAAATGAAACAAAAGAAACTTGATTGTATTGAAAAGGGAAATTCCTTATAGCATTTTCAAATTCTTGGGTTCCATTTTAAACATTGAAAGCGTATTTGGCAAGGAAAATGTATGCAGGGAAGAGATAATTGGTGTGAATGGTATGCATGATACTGCATCTAGGAAGCACTGATACTATGCTGGCAAAAAAACCCCCATGTAATACACATCTGTAACGAAGAAACTTTCTGCTACCCAAAGAAAAAACAGATTGAAGCTTTGCCTCTCTATGAACGTGCACTAAAGATTTATGAAGACAGCTTTGGTCAAATGCATCCTCGTGTAGGGGAAACACTGAAAAATTTGGCTGTGCTAAGGTAAGATTATATGCTTCAACCCTATAAATGCAAATTACTGCATGAAACAAAACATCTGGGCTTGTGTACTTTCTAGGAAAGTAGAGACTTTTAAGTATACTATTTTGATAGTATGGTGTATATATCAATTTAAATAAATAGAGAAACTTGTTTTATTTGCTTGTTTCAACTTTGTTTTGCTCTTTTCCAAAGCTATGAAAGGGGAGACTTTGAGAAGGCAGCTGAACTTTACAAGAGAGCTATGGAAATAAAAGAAGCAGAGACTTTGTTGATAGGTGGAAAAGCAACTTCCCGACACTCATCAAGTGGAGACACGTTCAGCTTAAAAAGTGCATTATCCCCAAATGCTTTGCTGGAACATGGACAAAGGTGATAAAACCCGCTCCAAGAAAAGGCAGTCTCTAATGATATTAGTAGACAGAAAATTACTAAGACAAATCAATTTTTCTAAGGATTATGTACTGTTTTGGGACTGATGCCTGTCTTCATGAATTCTGCCTTAACTTTGCAGACTGTATGATACAAAGTGAGCTTCCTTCATTGTACACGGGTACACACATTATTTACTAGCTCAAGTTGTAGCTAATAGCAAAAACTTGATGCCTCCAAGCCTTAGTGCCAGGACTGTAACAAATTAAGCTGAAACACTTGTATAAACTTTAAGAGGCATTTCTTATTTCTGTGTTGTAACAGCATGGCTTAGAGGATTTGTGTATTTTTTAATCATCAATCCTTCCTGCCTTTTTACAAGCCTTTAAAGTTGCTTCTGAAGAAATGGTAATTTTGAAAAAACTTTGAAAATACTGTTTAACCTCAAGTTTTACCTGCAGGGTTATTTCAGTTTAAGCAAAGTTTCATTCAAGGGAGTTGTGCAAAATTAAGTGGTTTCCTTGGGAAACTAGGGTATCTAAATATATCATCATCATGTACAGATAAAGCTGTTGTAAGATTCCACTCTTCAATAAAAGTACTTCCAGTGAGGAATCAGAATGAGGATGATTATGGCCAATTTCGTGTTCTTAAACCTTTAGCAAACTTTCACTAGGATTCTTACTGAATCCCTTAAAATATAAGAATGTTTGTATTAGCTGGGCAAAACTAGTGATGCACAATAGTTTGCCATCAGATAAAGAAATATTAATCAAATCTACCTGCCTGTTGTATTTCTTACTGAGTCGTTGGAAGAATCAGTCTGAGTTCTATTCTCATTCAGTCCATAAATGTATGCAGCAATTTAAATACATACTAGAAAAATACTTTTTTATAAAAAAAAATGTAAGTGGAAAATGATTTGAAACCCTACTATAATATTTCAGAGGCAACTAATGTTAATTTGATCCAGTTTTGAAAATGCAAATGGCCTTCACTTCAAAGGAGTACTTGCCTTCCAAGTCTTTTTTTCTCCTTCATAATAGAATTAAATATTACTCATTCCAGCCCTTGTTCTGATTAGGAGGAATTTAATATTTTGGTAATGCAGTAACTTGGCAAAAGAAAAGGTATATAAAACTGACACCACAAATATAAAACCCAAATTTGATTTTTAAGGTTAAGGTTTTATTGAAAACAAAAATCAAAAATAGTTATTGAAGGTGTTACAATAGAGCACTAAGAGTTGACACTATGTAATAGCTCTCTGGATATTTTCCTCTTATTCAGAACATGGATTTGCAAGCACAGCAAGTTACCTCTCTATTTTAGCCACCCTGAAAAGTTTTGAAAATTGGAAAGTTCTTTGCAGGATTGTCACCACTAAGAAGAGAAGCAGAAGGCAAGAAAAATAAAAAAACCTAAACAAAAATACCCAACCCTCTTCCTCTCCAAAACCTCAACCTACTGTAATTCTCTCCTCTAAAGAATTATCAGATGTCTGGTCTAGCTTGTCCTGTCTATTCTGATTTTATCATCAACAGTGGTACATCTTCCTCTCCTAAATAGTTTCCCTTATTGTTGCTAGTTTAAATAAGAAGTTACTTTCTAGATCCGCAGTTTTACTGTTGCTGAACTGTTACTTTTCTTGCATTGGGTAACTTCTCTCCAACTTCCTCATAGGTTGCAGGGTTAGTTTTGGAATAAGAAAAAAATTAAAATAAAAAATTGGTCCCTAAAAAGTAGCAGATCCCAACCATCCATTGTCCTTTAGCAAAGAGGGTGAGGAACCATGTGCCTATCCTGTGAACCCAAAAAAAGTTATGAGACAGCTGCCATGGAGCTGTACTTCACGGACAGCAAGGAAAAGTCATTTTGATGTATGTGATATGCCAGCTAAAACTTCTGTGTAGGACAACTCCACCTCAGAGGGTCACCAGTTTCAATGGAGATTTAATTACACTGTCAGAAAATCAACATCTTAGTAATGTTCACGTGACACTGTAAAAACTGAGCACTTTTAAAAGATTGCCCAATAAACAAAGCTGGACTTAATCATAGCAATGTATTTTGTTAGTTCATAACCAAAGAAACAATAAATATTCTATTGTGTTTTACAGTTAAAAGTAAATGTACTTCCTTAAAGTACATTATACTTGTAAACATCTTTTAAATTAAAAAAAAAAAGAAGCCTTAATGCTGCTTTTTTTGGATGCTGTTTATTTTTAAATAATTTAAATCATTGACACATAAATCATCTTTTATTTATTTTCTGATTATTTCAAATTCTTCTTGTATATACAAGTTCAAAGTCTAAAGTAACACAGGAACCATTTTCTGTACTCTCTAACAGGGCATACAAAAATGTATTAATTCCCTCATAAAAGTGTACTTGAAGTTGCCCCTCATAAGCTGTCAATCCTGTGATAGCAGCCAAATAGTTTGGAGTCAGGATGAACTGAGCTGTTGTAGAAATGAGTCGGCCGTTTGCCTCAGGATCTCCAGATCCACACAGCTGTGCACCTGACTTCTATTGTTCCCAACAGAAAGGTGAAAGTCCCGTAGAAATGTAACACAAAAATTGACAGTGGATCAAGCTAATGTCGACTTAGTGACACAGATTCAAGTATCTACCTTTTTAATGGTCTCATTAATCTATTTCCTGTTTCTTTGCAGTTCATTTCTAAAACCTGGTTTCTCCAAAAGAGAACTCAATCCGAAAAAGCCACTTCAATTTTACAGTATAATGCCCCACACTCAAAACCACCCAAAATCTCCTTCACTGGTTTTAGAAATTATTGTTCTGTGTATAATATAATATGATGTCAGCTGTGGAGGAAACTGATTTTGAATTTTGTAACCATTACTTAGAAATGAAACATTTTTTAAACTAATTATTAGTATAACTAACAGGTATTCATTCAGCTGCCCTAACAAACAGAAGCACCACCATGGTATTGCTGTCTCTTTTCTTTTTAGTGGAATACTACTACTACTGCCATTACTAGCTGGCTCTATGTTGGCTGCATCAAATTGTGGAAAAGTTTTTTGAGGAGCCCAATTTGGAAGTATTTGTATTATACTTCCAGGGCTGAAATAATTAACAAGTTCTGGATCAGATGCCCACAGTAGTTAAAATATTTGAAACTGATCCTTCCAGTTCTGCAGGGTACTGGTGCCCCAGGATGCAAATATTTACAGGTCAGTTTAACACGTGTCCATTTAAAAGGTTTTCTGACTGTACTTATGTCATTTACAAGACAAATACAACAGGTGAGCTACTCAAATGAAAATATTTGCAAAACTAAAAATTTATAGCATCTTATTTTAGAAGACTTTCTATGCAAACTCAGACTTAATATAGCCCATGTGAAGGGGAGTGAGAATTATAGTTAGACTTCCAGTAACCAACAAAAATATTTAGACTTCTGAAAAGGGAGTCTTTTCTCTCCCTTTTTTTAAAAATGCTGATCATAATTTTGTCATGAAAAGTATCTGCCAGACAAAATAGTGGCATGCTAATAATGTAATAATAACAAAAGACTTCACCTTCTTACAGTATACTCAAAAACATCACATACAAAACCTAGGCAGCTGTTTAAGGACAAGCAGGAGTAAAGCTGCATTGACAAAGAAAATTCCATCTCAGGGATATTTAAGGCAGATGAAAAGGCTTATATGTTCTCATTACTCAGAAAAAGTAGCCACAGCACAATCCATGCCAAGACTTTAGACCAGTGAATGACAACCAAGTAAAGTGCCTGGAAACTCAGGAGCAGCAATATGAGAGAGGCATTATCATCTGCCCTTCACCCACTCAGTCCTAGTACATGATAGGCTATATAATGTGCTGTGCCTGCTTTTTTAGTTTATCCAGGTCCTTTTATTTGCCACTGAATATCTGGACACTAGCAATGCTGAGAAACTAAAATTTACAGTAGCACAGCTCTATCTGTTAATAAAGACATGATGAGAAAACAGAATATAAACATGTAACTCTGTGTCCTTCCTGCCCCTGTAACTGTTCTGTTTCATCAGAAAAGGTAAGCTTCAATGGAGGAAAAAAAAAAAAAAGGAAAAAAAGTAAGAAGTCTGGTCTTCTCAAAATCCAATGTCCATCCAAACTCATGAAAGTTGCACTTAGTATTTGTTTTTCTACATGTTTCTCATTTTGGCCATGAGTTCTTCTAGGCTTTCTTCAGACTCTGCTACTGTCTCCCCAGTTATTAAATTCTCTTCCTGTTAGGAACAGGAAGAAAAAGTTGTCAACAAAAAAAGTAAACAAAAAAACCCCACAGATCAGCTTTATTGCTGTTACACCACACCATTTTCCTAGAAGCAGGCACTCAGTTGTGAGATTAGGCCTAAGTGATTAAAAGCTTCAATTGTAAACTATTTTGACTAGGAGTTAGAATGTTCTTACTGCAGGACATTCAGATTCTATGTTCCCCAGGTATACTCATTGCTCTTTGACTACATACAGCTTTTACAAGATATGTATAGTAAAAGTTAACTAGTCACCAAAATATCAACTGAGAAAGTGATACCTGCTGCCCTTCACCCCCAAATGCATTTATTCCTATCATCTCAGCAGTACATTCAAACTAGCATCCCCACTTAAAGAAGTATCTTTCCCAGGAACACAAAAATGGACAATAAAAAAGAATAATCAAATGAACTGAGGTGACATTTCATTGGAATTGTTCAAGATGGAATGCTGTTTTAGGTTTAAAGGGTAACCAAGCTGGTTATTACAAATTTAATCTACAATGTGTTTTTCAAAAATTCATAAAGAATAAGTACATTACCTTGTCTGGGATAGTATATGCTACACTAATTCCCTCAGGAAGCTCAGGTACTGGGCCAGATGCAGCCTTCAGCTCATCTTCTGAAATTTCTGATACTAATTCTATGCCTTTGCATTAAAAGGAAACAAAAACTCCATTAAAGTTCTTTAATCACCAAGTCATCACAGTAATAGGAAAAATGCAGCTACTTTGCCAAGTAAGAAAGAGGAAAAATGCAACTACGTTTCCAACTACTTTCTAGTTCCCTTTGTGAACTAGAAACACCTTTGATTTCAACAACTTCATTCCATTATCGATAGAAAATATTTTCCCTTTACTATATACAAAATAATTCTATATAGACAACTTATGAACCGGAATGGCATCTCTTCCTTGTCCTTACCATTTAAACTTTACCATAAGAACACTTCTCCCAGCTGTAAGATAAGATGATTTTCTATAGCATGTAATAAACAGAACATATATTTCAATTCTTAAAATGGCTATATAAAACACATTTACCATTCCTTAAGATAATTCCTTCTAATTTAAAACCCTCAGAGGAATGTAAAAATCCATGGGATGCCTCAGCACAGTGCTTATGGAAATGACAACTGCCCTGTAGTATATTTAAAAAGAATATGCAGTTAATACATCTTCTTATATCTCTCTCATCTACAGAACCATCCTCTGAGGAAGTTTTGTATTCAAGCAGCAGTTACATTTTGAGCCTAAAACACCATACTGCATTCAAATCATTGCACTCAAGTTGTAGTAAAATTACTTTCAAAACTTGTGAAAAGCCAACAGTAAAGTTATAAAAAAGCCATAGTGTAAGTTATAAAAAATAGAAACTAGAAGAATTATATCTACCTTAAACTGTGTTCACCCAAACTGAATCTCAGTGTTTGGACAATAATTTAGTCTCCAGGTGACAACTTACCCCAGTCATTGTCTTCATGTACTATTTCTTCTTCCTTTTCAATTACTTCTTCTTTTGGTCTTGCAGCTTCTTTTTTCTGGAGGGAAAACACAAAAAAATAAACCCCTCAATAACCAAAATTTAATAGTCCAATTTCCAAAAACAGCAAAGAAGTTGAAGCCTAATATTCACATTTTTTCCAATATGTAAGATAAAAAGGTTCTAAATGGTGACTGCTTAGGAACAAAAAGGCAGAATACCTGCAAGTTCAAAAAAACACCAAACCCATTAACACTCAGAAACATATGACTGCTAGAAAAGTTTGCATTCAGTTAAGTAATATTTTCTTCTACATAATTGCTCAACCTTTCTTCCTACCCTTTACTTTTAGGTAACTGTAAGTACTGCATATTTAGAAACATGTGCAACCATCTGATGATAACTGCTGCAAACTGGAGGAGCAACAAACATTTTCTTTTACTATAGATTTGCAACTTGCTTTGTTTGCTAAGAAAAGGGAAATAAAAAAATCAACACACAAACCTAAACCATTTTTACCTTATAATTTTCTTGCTGTTTTCTGCAATTGTGGTCGCTACATTGGGGGTTCGGCTTCATAGACATAGTTGGGAAGAAATCCTGCATTGCATTGTAACCAAGATAGTAACTCACAGTACCAAAATTTAACAGGTATCTAGAAACACAAAGAAGGAGCTTGTAATACAGGTGTAAACCTAAAACTTCAGTTGTTCAATGAATAATTTTTCCTCAAAGAACTTTTAGAATACACTTTCAGACTCATGGAGTTGTAGAGTTACTGTAATTGCCTTAAATCCAGTTATGCTGTAGTCAGCTGGCAACAGAATAACTGGATCAATACAGAATCCCATCTTCTCATGGTGTGTGAGAATAACTCAGCTACAGGCAAGAGAATTAATTTATTCTTTGTCCATGACAAAATTCCAAAGACAAGTCAGCACTGTAGCATTTTTTATGTATAACTTAATGGTGCCAATCATAGCATGTTAAAGTATTTAAATATTTTGTTGTACACATCAATAGCAACAACTCAGTCACTTACTTGAGAACATTCTGCACAAGCATTCCTGCCACAACACCCATGGTTGTAGGAAGACTGGCTGCACAAACTCCTTCTCGTTTCAATGTCTTCTCATCAATATTTGCAGCTACTACCAGGGGAGGAGCACACTGAGGGGCAATAGAGAAATTACGCTGTAAAAATGCATTCAAGAAATCCCACAGAATTTTAAAGTACTGCATGGGTTGTGCCAGGATCACACTCACAAGGCCAGCTAATCTTCACATTCCCAGTCCTGCTCTAAAAGGCAAGTGAGCAATTCAGCAGAGCACCACATACCGCAAAACAAGCGGATTCACCAGGGATGATCAGCTGGATGTGTCCTGACACTGCATTTTCACTCACTCCAGACTCCATCCAGATTTGTCCGAGTTCATTGCAGGCCTTATAAACACAGAAACACACACATCAGCACTGCAGAAGCTTAATGAAAAGAATAGGAACTCAAACAACTGGGAGTCACGAAACACATTCATCTCCCTGCTTTCAGGCAAAGGGGCTATGGTCATAAAAAGGTACATGAAGAGATAGAAGATAAATAATTTATCAAAGGACAAATCAAACAGCAAATTAAAGTTGTCCTTATGAAGCCAGCCCTTTGTGCTTTCCTGAGGACCTGTGATGTTCTAACACGTACAGACATTAGTGACCTAGTCACAGCACACTACAGAATATAATTCCACAAACTATTTTTAGATGCTTGGTTACAGTGTATCTGTGTGCCTTCCCTGCCTGCAATTTATGGATCAAGTCAGCTGAAGGGTAACAGAAAATATACATTTGGCATATACCCTACATTGGCTGCTACTATAAAGAAAATCAGTTTGATTAAATAAAAAGCATTTTTAGTATACAAAAAGTCATGTGAAGTACAATCAGCTATAGAAAATCTTTAAAAGTTTTTAAGATTTTACATAACAACCTTTGAAAATGCCATTATATAAACTCCATATAATTACTGTTAGAGTAATTAGAAAAGACAGAGTTTATGATGCTTCCATCTTTTACTAACCATAAGTTGATAGTAACTTTAAAGTCTTTAGTGATATTTATATTTATACACATAAAATGGGTTTATAAATACTGGGTAAAAGCTCAGATTCCTCAGGTCAAGGGGGACATTTCTTAGGAAATTGTTTTTAACTTCCTGTCTTTTCTACAGTTCCACAATTCCTGACATTATTTATAGGAGAAAGCAGACTTCCACAAGCTTGTGCCTTGGGTGGCCTTACCGTGTTAATGGCCATGCGAGCTTCAAAGTTGTCCACACAACTCAGAACCAGATCCACAGGCTTCCCTTCCTCCAGTGCACCATTACTGAAACAAGCATCAGAAATTTACAGGAAATTGCCATCAGAACAAAACACCAACATGGCAACCAACAAGCTGCTTTAGAGTACAGAAGGCCAAGAAAAGTGAATTTCTAACAAAGCTTGTGCAAATGCAGTACAGGACACAGCCAGCATCTTAGATCTGCCGTAGAAACAACACCATGCTGAAGCTGGGATTTAAATATATTAGCATTTTAGACTGTTTTATATAGTATGCACTCACAATACAAAGTACTGGAGAATTTTATCTTTGTACAACAGAACTGCAAATGGTGCAAGTTATTTCAGATCTCTGTGAGATGCACTACTTTCTCCTTTCATTTTATAAATCATAACTGAAAACTACTCCAGAGCACTTGAGATATGATCTGATCTGTTTTTCATAACACATCTAGGCAGGAATGTCTTCATATACATACATTTCCCAAAGGTTTTCAATTCGAAGTTATTAAATTGAAAAAGAGCCCCATCAAGAAATACATGAGGCCGTGTAGAACCACACATCAGCAGAATTTAGCAATATACTAAAGTTGGGGGATTTTACCTTATTCTATCCATGAAGTGCTCAAAGTTGTCCAGTGTTGTGATGTTGTAGTTATGTACTTCAAACTGAACATCAGGATTAATATCCCTTTGGAGGAAATAACAGGAGTCAGAGGTAAACAATACAATGATAATTTGCATTCTTCTCCCTAACTTCACAAGTGTTGCTACAGTCTTAAGTTTCCACTCCAAACTCTAGAATTCACCCATATTTGTAAAAATTCAGATTAGGTAAGAAAAAAACCCATAAAATATGGAAGTGACATTGTTTATACCAAACTTCTGAGCAAAACTGGCTATACTTAAAAAGCAGACTCACATTAATGTTTTGGCCAGTACAAAAATGTCTTTTAAGTATCAATAATCCCCACAAATATTTTATACTCAAATTCCCAAATTAGATCATGCTCCTTTGCAAATTATTAAGAGTGAAACATTGGTTTTCTGGAGCAGTATCCTGGTTAAATACATTTTGATACCCACTTCTCCAAGTTATACCTCAAAGTATGTTCTGCTGCTTGCACTTTACTTAATCCAGCTTGATGAGGTTGGAAGAAGAGTCTGTTCATGTTTGCCAGTTCCACTTTGTCATAATCAAACAGAAGTAGCTACAAGAAAGATTGTTTTAACATGTGTAAATCTCCAGAGATTCTGCAAACAAAGCACTGTGGCAATTTTGAAAAACAAAACTAAGACCAAAGCCATAGAAAACTCTCCCAACCAAACTCCCTCCCCTCAGAGGCCCATTCAGTTCACATACAATAGGTACTAACATCATAAGGATGTGAAAAACTGAACCAATCTTTTAAATCATTAAAACTAAGAAAATTCAACAGATTAACCTATATGAACAGTATCACCTCTATTATCACCTTCCTACTTGCTGCCACACGACAAACTAATGTTTGTGATAAAGTTTTCTGTCATCTACTACATTTCAATTGCATAATATAAACTTGGTTCTTATAAGTCTTTATCTGAAATACCCTCTCATTTTTCTTTATTTTGTTTGCCTTTGGCAGTAATCCTTTTGCAGCACCAAGATTAGAGAGATGGGTTCATAGAAGAATATGGAGATGACAAACATCCAAACAAGAATCACCTACATGATACAGAATCAAGACCTAAATAAATCAATTTTACCAGTGATATAAAAATACAGACTCTTCATGTGCAATGTTTACACAAGTGCTGTTCTTGAGTGCTTTCTTCACAACATTTTTTATTTGGGTAACATCAAATCAAATTCTTTACAAAGAGGACTGGTCCATCTACTATAAAGATAAAGAAGAATAAAAAAACTCTCATTACCTTACCAATGCCACACCTTGTCAGCATTTCAGCAGTCACACTGCCAACGCCCCCTACACCTACTACTGCAACTGTGAAGGTACGGATTTTCTGTAGAAAGAAATAATATGCAGATGAGTATCTCAAAAGTGATCCTCCCAGGGAAAAAAAATTCAAGTAGTGTTTCATTACACATAGATTCCTACCTCATAGTCTTTGACAATTCCCATTCTTTTTAATGCCATCAAGCGACTACAAAGAAAAAAGAAAAGCAACGTTACACAGAAAATGTTCTTTATGTTTCTAAAACCAACTTTGCTTTTCAGGTATTTAAAATCACTTTTGCTTTTGAAATAACCTCACCAAGCAATAAACTCAAGCCTGCTGTTTCCATTGCAGTTGTGATTGCCAGCTAGGTACAGTCTGAGTGACAGAGCAGATGCTTTCCTATTTGCACCAGAGTCCTAACCCTGCAGAAACTCAAGCAACTATTCCTCTGGTAATATCGATGAACTCAGGAAGGCACAGATATTTTTGTAAATTAATCCCTGACTTACAGAATGAAAGGTGACACTTTTTTTTTTTTCCAGTAATGAACCATATGGCAGCAAACTAGTGAAGACTTGCACTGTTTTTTGATCAATTTGATTAGATTAACATAATACGAAAAAAAAATAAACAGAGACTATCAAGTTTTGAGGATAACTGAAAGGATTTTAAAGTAACATTTTATCCCTTTATGGCATTTTTCATGAAAGTACGAGTATCAACATGTGTTAAGAAAAAATAAAACCAAACCCAAACCAACAAAACAAAAACCAAAAAATCATCAGATTTCTAGAAGGGAAGGGGTCTCTAAAGCTCCAGAATTCTATAAACCAACCTCTAAAATAGGCAATTTGGAAGAATGAGAATAAAACCTCATATAATACCAACACCTGTCCCCTTTACTATCAAGCTAGCTGAAAACTCACAAGGTTTCCTCTCCCTCTCCCTCTCAGCCTGTATTGTAAAGCAAGATAATACAAAGTAACTCTCACATCCAGCCCTGCCAGGTGGGAAATCCGAGAGCATCCCTCCCGGAGCAGCTGCCTCCTGCACCGCCCGACACCCTCCTGAGCACACCCAGCCCCATTCCTGAGACTCCCACCCGTCCGAGCCTCCTCCCGCTCCACCCCGACCCACCGCGGAGGACGGGGAAGGGCCTCCCCATTCCCATCCTCCGCTCCCTGACAGAGCCCTCGGAGCCCCCCGCGCACCTGTAGGGGTTGGAGTCGGTCACCTCGGCGCTCATGGTGTCGATGCGGGCCCGCGCCGCTGCCCGCCCGCGCCTCTCCCGGGCCAGCTCCTCCTCCAGCTCCCGCACGCGCCGCTCCAGCCGCTCCAGCCGCGCCGGCTCCGCCATGGCAGCGACACGTCCGCGTCCGCGCCCGGCCCGGGAGCTTCCGGGAAGCGCCGGGGCGGGGCCGGCCCGCCTCGGGGCCGCCTCCTCACGGCGGGAGGGCGCTGAGGGGCGGTGCCCGCCAGAGCGGTGCCTGCCTCCCGGGAAACGTCGCGTTCCGGGAGGAACCGCCGCGCCCGGCAGGCGGGGGGCTGCGGAGCGCTTTCCTGGCGGGCCCAGGCGCTCCGGGTGACCCGGCAGGGGCGGGCTGCGGCGCGGCCTCCGAGCATGGCGGCGGAGCCGGGCACGAGCGAGGTGCGGCGGCAGCACCGCTTCGACCAGGCCAGCCTGGAGCGGTACCTGAGCGGCCGCTTGCCCGGCTTCCCGCGGCTGCCCGCGGGCGCGCTGGCCGTCAGGCAGTACAGGTAACACAGGTGACACTGGTCAGGCAGTACAGGTGGCACAGGTGACACTGGTGACAGGGCACGGACACGGACACGGGTGGCAGGCCCCGCTCCCCGGCCCCGGAGCGCCCCGGACGGCCGAGCAGAGGAGCCGCCCGCCGCCGCCTGCCAGGGAGAGTGGTCAGAGGTGGAGCTCTTTGCCGTCGCGACAGCGGGCAGCAGCCATCCATAGGTTTTTAAGATGTATTTTGACTTAGTCCAATTGAAGACATGTCCCAGCTCATCCGTTGAGCTCCTGGAGAAGACAAAGTTGGAGGTGGCGGCCAAAGTGACCTTTGTCACACTCAGTCTGTGGGCGGGCTGTGTGTTGGGTGGACTGCCCGCTGTCCTCAAAGTACACCCACGATTGTGTTTTTGCCTACACGTAAATCGCAATTGACCTTCTCCATCTTTAATTGCACAGCAAATAGTAATGTTCATAAGCGCATATTTGGCTTAGGAAATCAATGGTAAAAGCGTTAGGCTGTCACCAGGTAAGCAAATGCACGAGAACAGGGTAAGGATGTGCCGAGATTCCCATTACTGGAGCATTATGCGGTGTGCCAGGGAGGTGCCACACCCGGGCTCCCAAGCCTCTCTGTTCCATAGAGCACTGAGTTCGTTTGCATTCAGCAAATCAGTGGTGTGGCTGCACGACTTCATGTCGGGAACTACTAGAAGTAACGTTATTCTAAAACTAAGGATCAATTCCTTTGTAGGCATGACCTTGACTAACTTATCTGCAGCTATTGCTAAGGAACAGTGAACAGTTTTTCATTGTCTTCTCATGTAAATAGAAAACATTAATTCATTCAATCTGCCCTAATCTTCCTATGTACCTCAGCTGAGAAGATTTTAGGAGGGGCCTTAGGAGAGTAGCTAATAGGTTAAGTCTGCTAAAATTTTTTTTGTATTTATGCTTTTACTTCTTTGTCTTGTAATTACAGTTCAAGGCTTCAGCTGGCCTAAATTAGTTTTGCTCCAAGCAGAGTATTTGTCAGTTAAACTTTTCAAACTTTTACAAACTAAGCCCTAACTGATTAGGAGAGAAAGGAAATGTAATGGGAGGAATGATGGCTAAAGTTCATTTGATTTTTATTTTCCAATAGTTGTCTAATCGTTTATTGGACTAGGTCAGAATACATCTTAAAAATGAACCAGAATAAGGAGAGAAAAGCATACAGATTAACACAGAGCCTTGAGGAAAATAAGGACCAGTGGGTTTGATTGGAATATAATAGACAAGCTGTTATGAAGTGTTTAACTGGTTGTCCTTCTCTTTTACATGCAATGGCTAATTTTCTTTGTGACTTCAACATACATTCTTTAAAATTTTACAGTTCCTATAGGCTGTACCTTTAGCATAATCTTTGTATGTGATAATCAGGCTGGCAAATAGTGGGGCTTGGTACTACAATCATCAGTAATTTAATCAGAGAGTAGAATCACAAAGTGGTTTGGACTGGAAGGGACCTTAAGAATCATTTAGTTCCAATCCCCTTGTCATGGGCAGGGTAACCTTTCTCTAGACCAGGTTGTTCAGAGCCCCATCCAGCCTGGGCTTGAACACTTTCAGAGATGGGGCATCCTCAACTTCTCTGGGCAGCCTGTTCCAGTCCAGATTTGAAAAAACCCACAACACAAAACAGCTCTGGAGAAGATGCTTTCCTCCATCCTGCCATTTTGTTCAGATCCAGTCACAATGCATTTTGCAAGTATCATTTCTGTTAGAAGTTTACAAATTTGTAAGTACTTGAATTTTTGAGTAATTACAATCTTTCTCCCTGCAGCTCAGGCCAGTCAAACCCAACCTTTTACCTTCAGAAGGGTGGGAAGGCTTTTGTGCTCAGGAAGAAGCCCCATGGTCCCCTTTTACCTGGAGCACACAAGGTAAGTAACATTCTTCACTAAGCTCCAAACACTTTGTTTTGCAGGTGACCAGGGTCTATACATGATGGTCCAGCACGCTGATGAATGTGTCTAGAAATGCAGTGAGTTGCTGGATTACTTCCCATGTTCACGTTCTATACGTATAATTAAACATTCAAGAGGATTCACTGTGCTCATTTATGTTTGGGAGGTATAACTGAACCTCAGTTTCTGTGTCTTCTTCAGGTTGATAGAGAATATCGTGTGCAGAAAGCCTTATTTTCAGCTGGGTTTCCAGTGCCTGAGCCCCTTTTGTATTGCAGTGACGTTTCTATCATTGGAACAGAGTTTTATGTAATGCAGCATGTGCAGGTTGGTCCTCCTGTGTGAGAGATTTTTTCCTTCTCCCTACTACAAACTGCTTTTAAATTGTCTAAAGCCTTTGTGTTAGAGCCTTGCTCTGCACAATTTTGTGATATGAGAGTAAATAATCTTCTGATGTTTTGAAGAAATGCTAGCTATCAGGGATTCTCATAGATTTCAGCTTCTCTAGGGTTTATTTCGCACTTTGTTGAATTTTTTAGCTCAATATTTAACCCCTTGTTCTTGTTTGAGCTCTTGGAAGGATATCTTGAAATGAGGCAATATTGCTTCTGTGAAAAGCATAGACGAGTTAGAGGATAAAAATCAGTCTGTAAAATGAATCTTTGGATATCCTGGAGGTTTTTAGTATTGAAGATAGGAGCTTACATACAATCACCTATCCTTGAAAACAAAGCAGAATTCCAGTTCAAACACTAGTTTCAGAAAGAACACAGCATATCTCCATCTGGGGATGCTGTAGCTTAATTAAAACACTTTTTATTAGATTTTGGTGATTTTGAGCACAAGTCTGCTGTATTGTGTCTTTTTTTTTTATCCTCTGGGAGGAGGAGTTGAATTCAGGCCTTTTCTTTTTCATTGCATCCTGTTCTGTCATTAGGTTCACTGGGAAATTAGAAATGTAAGTTTATGGGCCATTTCTGTAGATTAGGTGAACCAGCTTAACCTTCCTACAAAACCGTAAATCAAGGGTAATAGAATGTAAGGGCTATGAAAATTTTGAAACCAATTTCATACATCCAAGATGGAGACTTTTGCTGGTTTTGATTACAACAAAGTGATTCCTTAAAAAGAAACCTTGTTACATTTCTAAGTAAGAAAAAGTACGATCTGTCCATTATATGATGGTCAGCACTACTCTCTTTTTAACAATTGTGAAAATGGAACAGCAAGCCCATCTTCTAAATGTATCCAATTACTTTTGAGGAGAAAAACAAGTGAATTTCTTTGGACTGTTTGAGTTTTTGTACCCACAACCCACCCATTACCATTTCCCCAGGGGTCTTCATTGGTATTTTTTCTGCAATTTAGCTTTTGAACAATATAGTAACAATGTTTTTCTGGTGCTTTCAAGCCTGAGGATACCTGGATTGAGTGCTCCAATTCAGAATTTCCTCTAGAGATGAAATATATATACTATGACCTGGGTTTACTGTGAATACCTTCATTGACCCTGGCTGAGGAATAAAATAAATAAGGAAGGAATTTTTGATTGCAAAGGAGTATTGATGCGCTACATTTGGTTTTGGATGTGGAATGTATAGCTATACGTCTTTCACCTGATGTGTACATCCCACCAAATACATGATTTATGGTATTTCTAGGGTCGCATTTTCCGAGACATCTCTCTGCCTGAGGTGGGCCCAGCAGAGCGTTCTGCTCTGTATCTTGCAATGATAGAAACTCTGGCCCTGCTGCACTCCTTTGATTTACAGTCATTGGGTCTCCAAGGATATGGTAGAGGACCAGGATACTGCAAAAGACAGGTACAGCTCTTAATGTTCTCTTGTTTTGTCTGGTCTTTGAATGTTTATTTGATTTGCAAGCTAAATTGTTAATTATAAATGATCATATTTTATTAAGCTATAGCTATGAAGCTATTAAACCTTCACTTAGTTCAATGAATTGTGCACAATCTGAAGATACTACCACATTCAGATTGATCCTGTAATGCTGTACTTAGGGAATGATATGCATTTGCTTTTGGAATAACATTAGATTTGGGCTGTGTAAATAGGATTAAAATAGATGTAGTCTTCATTTCATCTGTTGATATCTCAGTTCACATTTGCAAATGCAGAGGTACTGGGTTTTACTGAATTTTCATGCAAATTGGTGATTACCAAAGCCCAGAAGCATGTGCTTCAAAATTTTGTACTCTTGAAAAACTTGTGAATCAACTGAAAAATCTGTTGGAGCGTTTGTATTTTTAAGGTATCAACTTGGAAAAAACAGTATGATGCAGCTGCTCATACAGATATTCCTGCCATGAACAAGCTGGCTGAGTGGTTAGCAAACAACTTGCCACCTGATGATAATGAAGAAAGCCTGATTCATGGGGACTTTAGAATAGATAACATCATCTTCCACCCAACAGAGGTACTTGAAGTGTATTTGTACGTTTAGTAGATTTTGGCCTTCCATTGGTTTGTACTCCTATCATATAATGGGACACTTATATGTGGATTATTTTAGTGCATGAAACATCTTTGAAAGAAACAGTAGAAAACTGAACTCTTCTCTGTACTCTGTGTGAGGTGTTCAGGTACCTAACACAGTCCTGGCTTTCTGGAGCGAGATAGAACCAATGGAACCACAGAATCATAGAATGGTTTGGAGTGGAAGAGACATTAAAGATCATTTATTTCCAACTCCT